CTCCAAATCACATTTCAATTAAACATGCCATAAAATCACATAAATTCCAATTAGCATAAAACACTAATCAATTTCGAATTCGGCCGCCGATAAGGCCTTCAATTTGCAGTTTAAAACATAAAACATGAACAGGTCATTTAGCAGTCAAACAGATAGATTTGCATTTAAACTAATACACTCAATCAATCGGTTCAGAAATTCAGTCAATCAGTCACTTAACATGCTTAATCATAGATTAGCACTAATTAGTGGTGAGGGTTGTCACACCTTAATTTGTCTAGCCTAAGTTGATTTGAAGTTTTCAAACTGTACTCGTGAATCGTGATAATGAATCGGTCTTGGACTCTTGATAATGATAAGGAGTTTGAATGTATGTTTGTTTTTGGAACCTTATATAAATGCCCTGTGAGGGATTCAACAAAGGGGAGATTTCAGTATTGTGGTTGCTATTTGTTGATATATTAGGGAGAAACCGAAGTGTCGACTCCAATAATGCCACACATTGTGTTATAATGTGAATCTGTTATAATCAGTGTTATGAGAAAATGCTAATAACCTATTCGTTTTCCATCTTATCTCCATTTTTCATTAATTTGGATCTACTAGAGTTCGTTTATCATTATGTGAAAATGTTTACGAGTGTCTATATCTTGTAGTTAATATTTCATGAGTTAATCACTCTATGTAATATTGGTTTTAGATATAACCCATATGTTCAAGCTAGAAGCAGGATAGATCAACTCAAAAGGTTGGGCCACAGTATCGATAAGGTTTGTCGTCTTCCATGTTTTTCAATTTTTACTTTCAATTGTACAAAATGAGGTGATATATATTTAAAAATCCTTGTTCACTAGTTGTAAATGACTGTTCATTTTGCAGGTTGAATTCATCTTGATGGGAGGTACTTTCATGTCATTGCCATCAGATTACCGTGATTACTTTATAAGGAATCTTCATGATGCTTTATCGGGACACACTTTTGTTAATGTTGAGGAGGCTGTTTCCTACTCTGAGCAGAGTGCTATAAAGTGTATTGGGATGACTATAGAAACATGAGTTAAATTTACAGTAAATTTTCAAAATATAAAAACTTACTGTTCTTTTTTCCCTAATTATTCTTATTGCTGCTAAAAATTATTATAGGGGAATGGTGATAGGGAATTAATATCCACCCTATTAACCCTCATTGCCATCCCGAGTTGTGGGCAATTGATTGTCCTATTGTCATATGTAGTAATGGTTCTATAGAGAACAAGAGAATTTTTAAGGAAATGATTTAGAAAAACATATTAATAGACTAATGTTAAGTAAAAATTGTTATATGACTGAGATGTGATTGATTTTGTTTGATTATTTTAATAAATGGAATTAAACGAAAAGATTGTTAAATAAAAAGTCTAATAATAAAGAATTAGCGAGGGGTTTCAATGCTATTATTCAAAGAGTTTAAAATTAATATTTAAATTCATAAAAGTACTGCTTTTTATATACAAAAAGTGTTTGCTATTTATGCTTGTAGTTTTTGACTTGTATGATGCATGCCATGCCATTGCTTTAATTGATATTTATTTTTGCTTCAATCCAAGTTTCCACTCTAGGTTGTATATCTGTCTTTTTCGGTAGTGAATTGTACATTTTTCAAATCTGTGATTTATTCTTTTTTTGCAAGAATACAATTGTTGTCTAGATTATAAGTATAAGCATTTATTTAAATGTGTACATCACATTTTGGTTCGATAGATAGTAATATAATTGAATCGTTTATTTTGCGCATATCCATGGCGAGTAAGTATGACAATAAAGAAGAAAATTTAAAAAAAAAAAAAAAGTAGACAGGACATAAGTATCCTTATATGTTATTTGAAATTTATTTCATGCCCATAACTCTCCATTAATTTCATGTATTGTGCGATTTTAATTTAAACTTCAATTTTCAATTACAAATGTTATAGGTTATTGGCTAATGCAAAGAGATAAAAAAAACTGCAATCATTCGTTGGGAGTAATTACTACATCGAGTAAGCTTTGACTATTTGTTAGGGCATTTTTAATTTACTTATAGAATTTTGGCACTTCTTTTTTATTAAATTTGTGGTTAGAGGATTCACATTTTTTTTTCCTAATGTTTTGAGCATTCATGATATGACAAACACTTAGATAACCCAAGGAACTATTTGACATATAAATAAGATAAGACCAAATGAGCTAAATAGACTTGTAGAAACAAATGGGACCTCAATTGGATTCCCGGTTACAAAATTAGAATGAAAATTGTAAAACATAAGACTTAAAAGGCTTGTTTGCGAAATGATCATCGAAACTGCTGAAACTTTGCACGGGCAGCTTGCTCAAGCCTAAATAGACTTGTAGGAACAAACGGGACCTCAATTAGATTTCTGGTTAGAAAATTAAAAAGAAAATTGTAGAACACAAGACTTAAAAGGCCCGTTCAGGGGGGCAAAATTGCGAAATGACCACCGAAACTATCGAAACTTGGCACAAACAACTTGCTAAAGCCTAGATAGACTTGTAGGAACAAACAGGACCTCGATTACATGTCCGATTAGAAAATTAGAAGGAAAATTGTAAAACACAAGACTTAAAAGGCCCATTCGGGCAGCAAAATTGTGAAATGACCACCCGAACTGCTGAAACTTGGCATAGGCAGACTGCTCAAGCCTAAATACACTTGTAGGAACAAATGAGTCCTCGATTGGATTTTCGGTTAGAAAATTAGAAGGAAAATTGTAAAATACAATACTTAAAAGGCCCGTTCGGGGGCCTAAATTGCGAAATGACAACCGAAACTGCTGAAACTTGGCACGGACAGCTTGCTCAAGCCTAAATAGATTTGTAGGAACAAACGAGACCTCGATTGGATTTTCGGTTAGAAAATTAGAAGGAAAATTGTAAAACACAAGACTTAAAAGGCTCGTTCAGGGAGCTAAATTGCGAAATGACCACCGAAACCGCCAAAACTTAACACAGGCAGCTTGCTTAAGACTAAATAAACTTGTATGAGCAAATAGCACCCCGATTGAACTTCTCGTTACAAAATTAAAATCAAATTTGTAAAATTCATACCGAGTTTTTTTTTTGTCAATCTAATATTATTTTTTCTTTTTCATATGACAGATTGGCAATGGTGGAAAATAGTTCGGGCTGCATCAAAAGATTTGATTTTGTGTTTTTGAAAATATTTTGACATAGGATTTTGGTAAATGACTTATGGGTAAGATGTTTAGCATCAAAATATTTGGTTTTGTATTTTTGCAGATATTTTGACATAAGATTTTGGTAAAAGACTTGTGGGTTAGATGTTTAGCATCAAAATATTTGGTTTTGTATTTTTGAAAATATTTTGACATAGGATTTGGTAATGGATTTGTGGATTTGATGTTAATAGTTCGTATGTACTTTGGTATGAATGTTTCAGATTATTTGAGAATTGTAATTATGTTTATTGGGATGTTTAATAGCTATTAATTTTGAATTATTATGAATGTCTTGCACAGGTGTATTACTATTTACATTGCATTTGTATATATATTGTGTAAAGAAAAATAGGCATTTTGGGTTATTTTGAATAGGAAAATTATTAAAATCAAAATTTGTGCAGTGAATTTTTAGTGACAGGTGCTATTTTGGTCGCTGTTAATATATTTGATGACATCATATTGTTTTTCTCGCTAAAAGTTAGTGGCTATTCCAAGAATTTTTAGCAACCAAAACTTAGTTGTCGCTAAAAAGTTGATTTTTAGCGACTAAATTAATTTTGTCGCTAAATTTTTGGTGACGAATTTGTTTGTTGCTAAAACTACATAGCCTATCCAAATTTTAACATTTTAGCGACAAAATATATGATTTTTGGCGACCAATTATTTCGTCACCAAATGTGCTTTTTGTTATAGTGTTTTTAAATTGAAAAACTATTTGATAAAAATTTAAGTGCTTAACTAAAAATAAATTGTTTGATATGTATAAAATTAAATTTAAAATTTATTATTTTTAAATTGTATATTTTAATTTTTTATATTATGATGGTGGTAGTAATGGTCGTGTGGTGGTGGTGGTATGATGGTAATAGTAGTGGTGGTGACAGTTATGGCGGCGGCAGGCATAGTGATGGTGGTGGTGGCAACAGTAGCAACAACGATGGCAGTAGTTATAGTGTTAAAGGCAGTGGTGGTGGTGGCATAATGGTGGTGGTTGTGGTGGCAGTGACAACGACGACGACAACGGTAGTAGCAGTAGTGATGGCGATGGCGTGGTAGTGGTGCAGTAGTGATGGCACTAGTAGTAGCGGTGGCATGATGATGATTGTGGCGGCGGCAACAATAGAGGCGGGGGGGAAAAAAAAGATATTGTAATAGTGGTCCAGACATGGTGGTGGTAGTGGTGGTAGCAGTACTGATGGTGGTGGTGGTAGTAGTAGCGGTAATGGTGGTGTTGGCAATGAGTTTATAATAGTATATATTGATACTTATATTTAATATTTATAAATTCAATCAAAATTAAGTAAATTTCATATGAATTAAATTTTTCTTGAATTTTAACTTACATTTTAAGAGGCACTTAAATTGTTAAGTGATATCGATTGCGATTATCAAATGGACTTAATTGATTATCACTTGTTTGGGAACAGGCTAATTTAGTAACTTTTTGGCTATTTGGCTAAAAAAGTAGCTAAAAAAAACTTGTATGTTTGGGATGACTTTTTGGCTAATTACGAAAATATGTGCAAAAAGTAGAGAGAAAAGAGAATCTTTGACTTTTTGGTATGGGTTGTTGGCTTTTTGGCTAATTCAGTAACTTTTTGGCTTTTTGGCTAAAAAGGTAAGTTCCCAAATACATTCAGTTTTAAGTGCTAAATCATGTTATCAAACCCCCCTTATAAGTGTTATAGCTTATTACATTTTAAAAAAAAATCAAAAATCAAAAAAGACAAACTTATCTAACATATTGTATAAAATAATGAAAGCATACAGGTCACAATAGAATCTAACGCATATAAATTCCCGAATATAACCTTGTGCTGCAAATAGAATAGCAGAGGAACTAAGCCACCACTTGAAGAACAACTGAGATGTATACGTGTGCTGTGTTTGGGTAGGATTCTTTATGTGTGCTAGGTGCAGCCAACCCCAGATTACACATGTGCTTCACAACCGACTTTCCACCCAATAGGAAGCCACCATTTGTTATGTTCCTATCCTCCTTGATCGGTGCTTGTACACAATTACAGCTAGAGCCTTCTTATTCTTAATTGTTGATACTGTAAACTGGAACAATGAACAAAGACTCACAATAATAGACTTGCTGCCATTGTTTTTTGCTTTTCATTGTCATTTCTGTCTAATTATATATTTGTTTACAATATGGAAAAAAAAAATATTTGGTTTGTACAATTTGTATCTGTTCCTGAAATTGATGCTACAACTGTGATGCAAATTGACAAAGTATTTGCTCATCTATGCATCAAAGCTCTATATTGTTATTGTTAAATCACAATTTGATGAGCTCCCTATTCCTCAATTCATGGGTTAGGTGACATGCATGTATATGTTCGTATGCATGCATATATATAGATATATTTGTGTGTATATGGTGGAGGGAGGCAGTTTTACACCTTGTAGTTTTCAATTTTTTAGGTTTGCCAATGTTCATGTCTTGGTGTTTGTTAGTATAGAAAAACGTTGTACACCATGTGTTTGATGATATACCCATAAGAAAACTTATTATGTTTTAAGTGGTGGTGTGTTTTTATCTTTCTCCTCCTGACCTCTTATTCCTTTTGTCGGTTTGAACAGGTTGGTTGGATTTTGTTGTAGCTGAGGCCAAAAGGTATGGAATCAAACCTTGTGTTGAGTTTAGTGAGTAACTATATGACAACTTTGGAACATGGAAACAGTATGTGAAGTGAACTAGAAACAAAGGTCAATACTTAACACCTATTGTTAAAGGATATTACAACCATGTTAAGGTAATTAATAAAACAAAGTCAAATCCTCTGTTTTTACTCTATTCCATGTGATTGTAAGAGAAGAGGCAAAGTTCATCTCTAATTTAAATAAGTATACCATGTACAGGTTTAAATTTTTGTTGTAGTAAGGTGTTTCAAAACTTGAAGTGAGGTATAATCTTTGTTGGGTGCTTGTCCACATGTTTAAATTTTGGGTACAATTTTGAGTAGTTTTTCTTGAGTGTGTAGCACAATTGGCCATGCCTTTGAGGTGTATGATATTTGGCCTGAGACAACTTTGCTTTAATTCTTTGCCCATGAAAATCATGCTAACTCTATAGTTCTTGCAAATTTCATGCGGGGTTTATGAATAATAAAGAAAAAGAAGAAGGAACTAGGCAAGGTAAGCTAGATTTCATAAAGTTGTCATGGTTTTCTCTTCAAAGTCCTGTTTAAAGAGTTAAAGCTTCCACAACATGTCTAATTTTTTTCTGCCTTTGTTACTTATCATATATTGTTAAAATTTGTTGTCAATTAGTGCTTTGAATGTCTCGATATTTTACACATAATTAAATCAATTGTCGTACACTTTCGAACAGTCGAAGACTGTTTTGCCTCTTAGGATGGCTAATTTGAATTTTTTTTTTAATTAACAAGAGTGTTTGGTCTTATTTGTTTCACTGCTTTCGTTTTGTCTTGCATATCCGTGCTCATGAAATTGTGCATGTTCATTGGCAGTTGGTTCAGATCAAGCAGCATCAAAAAGTAGTATTCCTTTTTCTCCCCAGTGGCTTTATACTAAACCGAGTGAGACTAAGATGGTGAGTTCTATGATTTGATAATTGTAGCTCTGTTTTTTACTTGACAATAACCTATGATGCCTCTGTTTTGTGTACCATTTTATATATCTGTAAAGGTGTAGGATATACTAATTTGATGATGGGTTATTTACATGGAGAAAAACTATCACTTTGTGCCCTTAATTAGCGACAAATAATGTACATTAAAATTTAGAACATTGAGAAACAATTTCTGCTATAATGGAGTTCAAATGCTCAAAAATCTAATTTCAGTGCAGATAACTAGCATATTAGTATATATAATTAAGATGGCCAACGTATTCGCTTTATTTTTGCCTAAAAATGACCCACAATTCTTAAATCATGTTCTCTGGTTCAATATTTGACAATTTCGCTTGCCATTTCAATTCATAAAATAAGGTTTATAGAATTTAATGACAATGTGTCATGTCTTTATCTCGCTCTATTATTCCTAGCCAACGATAGCACAATCACCATAGCTTTATTCCTAGCCAATAATGGTGTGACCCCCACGCGCAAAGCGCATAGGGTCCAACTAGTATCTTAAAATAAGCCAGAAAATTTTATAGAGTCCCCAACTCACCTCTCTATCTTAATACTGCCCAATTTAACAAACTATTTTCAAAGTCCAACTAGCTAACTTGTTAGGTATCAGTTTTGAAAAAATAAAAAATTATGTATTTTGTTTAGCATGTGAGAAATGTGGTTAAGAAATAGGATATATATAATATTATTTTTCTAAAAATAAAAAAAGAACTAGATTTATTTTCAGTGTAACTCATAGCATGTTGGATTTAAATTTATGTCATATATTTCATCTTATGATTACTTTTCAATTTTTATTTTTACTTTTTGGTGTCAAATAAACCAAAGAGTTAAATCCATCAAGATGATTATCATTTACCCACTTTATCTATGAACGTATATATTTTAACTCTTTTAGTTCCAAAAAAATAAAAAGAAAAAAAAGATAATAACTGTCTTTTCGAAAGATTAAAAGTGATGAATTTGTATAAGTATCAAAAGGATGATATTTATTAATAATTAATAATAAACTTTATAAACCAAACTGACTGGTTAGTAGTAGCAACCAGCAAGTAGTGTTTGGTGGTGTGGCCACGTGCTAACACATGCATAAATTCAAACAACCTTAATATTTAAGGGCAGCTCAGCAAGAAACCAGAAAGCTCAACCTCAAGGTCTCTCTAGAACTATTCTCTTGTTATCTTTAGCTTCAAAACATGAGAGACATGAAAAATAGCTGAATAAGGAATAGGAAACGTGGGGAAACACGAGCTTTCATTTTGAAGATATGACTTTTAGGTATGGGTTTCAACTTGCCCTACCTACATGTTCAACCTTGTACAATGGATGCTTGCATAATGAAAGTCGGCACCATGTCTCTCTTCTTATCTTTTTCTCTGCTGAGTTTGCTCAATGATTCCATGAGCAAGGGCGGAGTCAGGATTCCTCCGGCGGAGAGGGTTAGATCGCAAAAAAAAAAAGTATAGGATAAATTTATCGAGCCATCAATAGATCTGTTGGAGTTTTATTTGATTAAATTATTATTAAATATTACTTAGTAGAAACCAATTTGACCAATAAAATTATAAGAAATTAGTCTTAATTAAATATTATTTGTATGAATTTTATGGTTAATGAGGTCAAAATGTATGAATTTATAGATAAACGGTAAGGTAATATTTGTTACTAGTTAAAAAAAACTTAATATAATTAATCTATTATAATATCGTTAGGTACATAAAGTTTTACAAATGATTCTATTAAATAAATTATAAAAACTCACAAGTAAACTATATTTTTTTTAACATGGATCAGATTAAAATTTTTCAATAATGTTAGAATGATCATCTTTTTTTATTACAATTTGTTTATAACTTTAACCACTCATATTTGATACTAATATAGTATTGACACATGAGAGGATAAATAATACATAATAAGAAAATATCAGCGTAACATTATTGTAACAGTCATGCTACGTAGCTCGAAAGCTACGTAGCTCGAATCCCCCTAATCGAAAACGTTGCCGTTTTTCTATTTTTTTTTTTTCAGAAGCAGAAATCAGGAAGAAGAAGGAGAGGAGGAGGAGGAGGACTGGAGGGAGCCTAATAATAGGGGAGGAGGAGGCGGAGACGGTGGCCGGAGCTGGAGCTGGAGCTGTTGCTGCGACGAGCTGGCGGCAAGGCGATGACGGCGGGCCGGAGCTACGACGACGGTGGGGAGCTGCGACGACCACCAACTGCTCCTCTTCCCCTCTTCTTCTCTCTCTCTCCCTCTCCCTCTCCTCGAGCTACCAAACATTATTCTTATTGTAAATATTTCTTTAAAAGGCAACTCTACCACATTGTGGACTTTACAATTTTTTCTCTGAGTGTTAGATTAAAGTTGGGAAGCCATTACGTAATATGTAAAAAAAAATTCGTAAAAACATACATATAAAATGGGAATTTTTTAGAAAGTTGGAAGGGCTAGGACCACCCTCCTAACAAAAAATTATTAGTTGATCCAAAGGCGTCACGTGATCATATCCGTCACTAATCACAATTCGTCATATTTTTTTAAGAAAAAAAACCTAATGCCCAAAACGACGTCGTTTTGGGCATTAGGGGGATTCGGGGGGCAAAATCCTCGAGCTACCAAACATTATTCTTATTGTAAATATTTCTTTAAAAGGCAACTATACCACATTGTGGACTTTACAATTTTTTCTCTGAGTGTTAGATTAAAGTTGGGAGGCCATTACGTAATATGTAAAAAAAAATTCGTCAAAACACACATATAAAATGGGAATTTTTTAGAAAGTTGGAAGGGCTAGGACCACCCTCCTAACAAAAAATTATTAGTTGATCCAAAGGCGTCACGTGATCATATCCGTCACTAATCACAATTCGTCATATTTTTTTATGTTTACCGACCACTAAATACAAATTCATGAGTCTCATTCCTTCCACCTATCACAACACTGTTAAGACACCACGTAATAGTACCCCTAGACCAATCAATGACTTCTCCCTCCTGACAACCCCTCCCGTGCCTCTGCCACGTGTTCTCTAAATATTATGGGATATACACCCTTTTAAAAATAATTTAGTCTTGAGCTGTTTGGTATAACTTATTTGAATTATTTATAATTTTTTTTGAGAGTTTATGCTAAGTTATTTGGTTTAACTTCTATTTACCATTAAATAAATTAAAAAAATTAATTATTTGTAAGTAAGAGAGAATGCTTTTGCCTTCTGATTTTCTTTTATCAACTTTAATTTCGTTTACAATGAATTATTCCAAGCATGCCGTTATAAAATCTTGTGGTTTTAGTTAAGGGATTTTGTGGTGGTCAAATTTGTGATGATTTGTTACAAACTGAAGTGAGTTTAATTGTGATCTTATGTGGTGTTTGTAATTTGTGTGTTTTCTGTAATTTTGTAAACTTGTGGTGGTTATTAATTGAAATGAAATGACTTTGGTTATTACTTTTATGTTAATTTTTCATATTTTATGAATCAGTTTAATTTTAGTTACAACTTAAAATTATGAAAATTAAGAACTTTTTTTTTTTTTTTTTATTCAACGAAAATTCAGAGAAACAGAAGTTTGAGAATAAGTCAAATACAGCCCATAAACAAAAGGGCTAGTTCATCTCACTAGCTCCAGTTAAGTCATCAATAACCAAGTCTTTGAGTTCTTCAGGTCGGTCTTCAAGCAGCACAACATGCTTATTAGGAATGTAATTGGTTCGGTACGGTCGGTATATAGATAAAAAATTATACCGAATCGATAATATCGGTTTTATTATTTTGAACACCGATACAGACCGCTTCTCCCATCAAACCGCACCAAACCGAACCGATTGAAACGGTTCAGTTTGGTACGATTTAATCAGTTTAGGATTTTTCAAACTTGTGTCACTTTTAAATATAATCATTAATGTTCATCTCACTAGCTCCAGTTTAAGTCATCAATAACCAAGTCTTTGAGTTCTTCAGGACGGTCTTCAAGCAGCACAACATGCTTATTAGGAATCTAATCGGTTCGGTACGGTCGGTATATAGATAAAAAATTATACCGAATCGATAATATCGGTTTTATTATTTTGAACACCGATACAGACCGCTTCTCCCATCAAACTGCACCAAACCGAACTGATTGAAATGGTTCAGTTTGGTGCGATTTAATCAGTTTAGGATTTTTCAAACTTGTGTCACTTTTAAATATAATCATTAATTTATATAAAAATATTAAATTAGTTATTTGTCTACCATTCAAACATATCCAATCCATCCATTTAATACATTTCAATTTCTAAATTAACAAAAATAAAAACAAAAAAAAGTTTAAAATATTAAGGTTTCAAGAATAATAAGTTAGAGTTAAAATTAATATAATAAAAGTTTACAAACTTAAGTTATAAAGATGATAAGGTTAATTAATTAAGGTTTATTATACTTATTAATATCATTATATTATTAGATTATATATATATATATATATATATTATATAAATATGATATATGTTGAAACGATCGGTTTCGGTCTAGATCGGTGCACAAGGTGCTTAAACTGATACCGAATCGAAAATCGAAAAAAATCAAATTAAAAAAATGCACAGACCGATTCTTGTTAAAAAATAGACCAAATATAATCAGTTTGGTTCGATTTAATTGGTTTAGTCGATTTTTTCGATTTTTTTTACATCCCCAATGCTTATCTTGTGCAACTCCAAAGTTAGCAAGTTTGTTTGCACATTTGTTGTCCTGTCTCGGTATGTGTTGCAAAGAACAGTTGCTCCTTTTCAGTAGGTATTTGGCATCTTCTATGAGGGCATTGCGTTGTATTTGATTGAGTGATTTAAAAAGTAATTTGAAAAGAGAAAGGAAAAATATAAATGAAATATGAACAAAATATACTTACATTTCACGTAATTTCACACATTTTCTTTTTTTCTTTTCAAATCCTTTTACAAATCTCCCAACCAAACAAAATATTATATGGTAAGTTTACGCATAGGCCATCTTGGCTTTGGCTGATTGCCATTGCAGAATCAGTTCAATCTCCACTTCCTTTTGTGCCCTTCTGAAAGAGGATGGTGAGGGAGGTGTGCAACAATTTTGAAGAGGTGTGGAATGTCCATTGGGCCCTTGGGTTAGGAGGTGTGCAACACTTTCATGATATGTGACTCGTATATATAAGCTGTTAATATATAATGTAATATCATGTAATATATC